TTTTTCAACCAAAGAAATGCGCGCAACGCACGCGGCGAGCCGCCGAGCATTCTGGGAAAGGAGACCCACCGAGGTCAGCCCCCTTTGTGCCCCGGACAGGTCGCACGTGATGTCGGGGCAACTTTTCTCCCTTTGACGGTGAACCTCAACTCGTCGTCAGAAGAAACCAGCCGGCGTTCCCGAGCACGTTCCCGAAGGTGGAGCGTTTCCCCTCCCCCTCCCCTCGCCGTCTGCGCGTTCTCCAAGCCGTCGTGGAGATTGAGCGGGGCTCATGTCCGCTCCTCGCGCGTCGGCCCCTTCCGACTTTCTCAAACGCGCTTTGGCGTCTCCTTCCGCTTTGGATGTCCGAGGGACTCGCGAGCGTCGACGTTCTCAAGACACGCGAGGACGTCAAGCGTCTTTGGAAACGTCTGGACGCCCCGAATCCCGCCCCACGCCTGTTTTGCTACGTCTCCTGGCGGATGCGTTGAACTTCCTGTCGGCGTTCCGGACCGAATGCTTTGACGTCCCCGGGCGCGCCGCGTTGATTCGATGTATTTTTTTGCTCAAGACGTCTCGTTCACGTCGTCCTCGATCGGACCCGAAAGCGTCGCCCCGGTTCCGCGCGCGCGCGTCGTCCTTTTTGGATCTTTAACGTCACGAAAGTCGACGGCGGTGAGGGCGCCCGTGCGAAAACGGGCTCGCGAGAAGCCGCCGCAGCAAGAACTTGAACAACCGCCGGCCACGCCCCTTTGTGTCAAAAGCAAAGTGAATGTGCAAAGCCGCGTGTGAAAGGCACAGGCCGATGAATGCTGGTTGAGGCGTCGACCCGTCGTCCGCCTCGCCGATTCAGACCGTCGGGCGGCGCGAAAGGGGCTCGTGGCTCATTTCGCGCGTCTCTTACAAAACGCTGGTTTTCAGCCCCTTTCACGCCGCCCGACAACACGGACACAGAATGCGGGCGTCGCGAGTCCACCCGTGAGATTCGGGGCTCCGGAGGTAGTATGAGAGGTGTGCGGGGAAAGGCCTTTTCCGGCCAAAGCCGTTGGCGCCACCGTCACCCGTTTTCCCAACACTGGCTCGACGTTCACGTCTACGACGTTCGTTTTCCAGGAGGCGGATTTGACGCTTCAAAACTTTCCACGGCCCTCCGCGAAGACGACGACCGACATTCATCTCCAGTCGACGTCGCGGTCGGTTCATTTTTTCTTTTTTTTAATGAGTTAGCATCCACATTTGGGGATTTTTTTTTTCTTTTTCTGGGAGCAAAGGACCCCGCTATATTTTGACCCCATGCCTCACTTGCCGGCTTTTGTAGAACGGGAAAAGCTCGAAACAGACCTATGATTGTTTCCCCCCCCCCAGTGAAAGAAGAGAGTCGACTTGTTCTTTTGGGAGGTTCAGTGCTCAAACCGGATTTGAAAACGGCTGGCTGTCATCCGAATATCCGAACGCGAGAAGCCGCAAAGGCTCCGTCAAAACGACGGGATGAAAGGAGCTGTGGAGTCCCAGAATGCTTTGCGTCGCTCACACCAAGCGTCCAGACACTTTTATCAACAAGACGACGGCACAAAAAGCAAAGCGCAGAAGAAGAAAGGATGACAAAAAAAAATGAAGAAGAAGAAAGTACAAATATTTTCTTTTTTTTTTTTGTCATTTCCTGCAGCACAGCAACCTCCAAAACCTCCCTGGGTTGTTTTGGGGCTCACACGAGAGCACAGAGAAGACACGACGACGACGACGACGACAACAGCGGCGGCGGCGGCAACAGCGCACACACGGCACAGAGCAACACGCACAGCAACAGGAAGTGGCCGCGAGCCACACCAAAAACACGGTGGGGAAGGGCACAAAAAAAACACCACTTTTACGCGCCGAAAACACTTTTGCGGGATCATTTTTTTCCTTCTTCTTAGCAAAAAATACAAATGAGGTCGATTCACAGTGCACACGTTTGTTTGTTTTTTTGTTTGTTTGTTTCCCCCCCCCCCCCGCGCCCTGCCGCCTGCCTCAATTTTGGGGGACAACGAGGCGCCCGGTGGATGTGCGGTAGCTTTTCCAGAGTCCGGCGATGCGACGGAAGTCAGCGGATTGTCTTCCCCGCAGTTGGCGGAGGAGATTCCGGAAGAAGAAGAAGAACTGCGGAAAACAAGCGTGTCAAATCATACAGCAACCGGTCAGGGTCCAAGACATTCATTTTTCATGTTGGCCATGCCATCTCATGAGCATAAATGCAAGCTGATTAGCTTCATTGCTGACCAACTACCACCAATGCTACCTGATTAAAATCTAGACTCGCTGCCGAGCATCCATTTCAGACGCCGATTAGCTTCAATGCTAGCCAGTTGGCATTGACATTACCCAATGACAGAAGCAATGCGAGCTTAGTCGCATCAACGCTAACCGATTAACATCGAGGCCACCTGATGAGCAGCAATTGCCGTCGGTTACTTAGCATCCAACGAGCCTCGTTGTTAGCCGATGACGGCAGTGGTGCTCAACAATGAGCATATATGCTAACTGGTCAACATCAAGGTCCACTGATTAGCATCAAAGCTAGTCAGTAAGCCTCAATGTAACTGATTAACTTCAGTGCTAATCACTTAAGAAAAGTTAACCAATGATAGCGGGGATGCTAAATGATAAGCAGCATTGCTAAACAATTCATCTCAATGCTGGCCGATTGGCATGAAGTGATTAACATGAAGGTGCACTGACGCGCATCGACTTTGTTCGAAGATGAGCATCAAAACCTGTCAATTGGCCTCAATGCTCTTCAATTAGCAAACGTTAGCTATTGGGAGCGCCAATGCTAACCTATTAGCCTCAATGTTAACCTGTAAACAACAATGCTGGCTGATGAGCACCAATGCTAGCTGATAACCTTCGTGCTCGGTCATCGGAATGAATGCCATCTGATTAGCATCAAGTTTCAATTCAATGCTAGCTGCTTAGCCTC